AGAAATATTTAATTATTTCATTGATAATTTTATATTTTATGCTTTCTAACAATTTAGCTATAAATTATTTCTCATAATTATTGATATTGATAATTATCGTTCTCATAAATTATTGATGCTGGATTATTTACACAGGAAAGTGTAGTAGTTATCATATTGCTTTGAATGGACTTTGAGATGATTAATTTCATTTAAGCACATCAGAAATATGAAAGTACCTCAATCCAAAATTTCAGCTGGCAATTTGCTCTAATAAGAACAATTCTAATTAGATCTAGGAAAGTCTTGATCCTAATTTTGCAACTGTCATCATGTCTATTATACTAAATGCAATATTACAGACCACGGAAAAACCAGATAATCTCTTCAGAAACTGAAGAACTATTCAGAAAGGTCTTAATTATTTTACAAAGTGACAAGCAACTTTGCAATTTAGACAAGAACAGGTATTTGCTTGACATAGGTATTTGGACTTAGATCTCAAAGATCCAAATTCTTAAACAACATGTGGACAAATGATACAGTAAAATGGAATAAAAATTTTGAATGTCTAACAGAAATAGCAGATTCAGTCCATGAGTATAACTTTAAAATAAGATGACTGTTCATATCTCCTCCTAAGGTACTACTTATTTTCATTAATAGAGATCTAACTATTTATTTCAATTTAACATAATATATATGCATTTATTTATTATGAAAATAGTCACAAATAAATAATGAAGCATTAAAATGTTTCTTAAAAATAGGATGTAAAGATTTTAAATGTAAAGTTATTAGTCTAAAGCAATTTAAACAAGGTCTGTTCTTTGGCCTATAATCTATTCTTTATCCGGATTACAGTTCAGAATGTTTTTACTGCAATCTCTGCTAGAGCTCATCTTTTTATTGTGTAGGTCCAAGCCCCCTTAATGTTTTAGAAAGGCCTTGACTAACTGAACTTTGATCTGATGTCTTCATTGAGAAAAACACCAGGTTGCCCATTTCAGATGCAAATCCCCGTAAGGCCCAATAGAATTTAGTAAAGACAGCAAAAAAGAAGAAACAAGAAGTTTCCAGGGTCCTTTTTGAGAATCCTGGGGCACACTGGTGTCCTTAATCCACACTGCTGCATGGATTAAGGTAGGTGATAACCTCTCCTGATTCAAAAGAATAAGCAGAGAGCCTACAAACTGGGTGGAGACTAGGATTTGGCTAAAATAAAACACCATGCAATAAAAGCTTGGTCTATGTCAGAAACATCTGAAAAGGACTCAATGTACCACATTCCCAGGCCTAGTAGGGAAGCTTGCAAAAGCCTACCTGAATCAAATAAGCATGAATAATCTATTTTAGCACACTGGCTATGGGGAAAGAAAAAGAGAGACTTTTCATTTCTTTTAAGTTTGAGTTAATAAATTTATTAGTGGATTGAAGGGTCTTGAAGTCCTCCACACTAAGAGAAATATGCTAAATTGCCAAGAAGCAAAGTATGCTTTTAAAGTTGTCGTCTCTATTACTGCTTCAAATTACAATATTAATGTGATATAAATTGCACATTTTGGGATGAATCAAGGCAGAAAATTGATTTCATACTGTGACATTTTATATACAGAATAAAAATAATACAATAAAATGTTGAAAACTGGAAACTTCTCATTACAATTATACTATTATTTAGAAATTAAAATTAGATAAGACAAGAAAAATATTCATAAGGATAGATACTAAAAATTAATGATAAAAAACTGTAATAGTTCAATTTAAAAAAAAACGGAAAAATAAATATATGCTTAAAGGCATAAAATCAAGTACAAATTTTTTCCTTTATGCAAGACAAATATAATGATAAATTTTGACACATTCAGAAATCTTAAAAAAAGACCTAAAATATTTTTCTCTTAAAAAACATAAGCAAAAGTTATATGTAGTGCATATATTCTAATGTGTTTATTAATCAAGTTAATGTATTTTTTTAGCTATTAAAAAACCAACCTATTGTCAATAACAAGTAAGTTCACTCAGTTTGGCAAGAACATTTTGCTGTAGCTTCATAGTGTGTAAACATCCATACACATTAATAAACTTATCTTAACTGTCAAATGTGGAAGAGAGTTTAAAAGAATGATTCAGAAAAAATTTACTATTTCACAAGAAAATGAATTCTGATGTGGGGCCAGGAAGGAGATAAAGCAACACCACAAATAGTCTAAATGATCATTTCTAGTTTTTTAGTATGGTATATAACAGGATGGATTCACGAGGTAATTAAGAGAGTGAAAAGCATTATCAACAGAAATACAAGCAATTCCCAAGGACTAAATCACAAATTATTTATGAATATCATGTTTTATACATATAAGGAGAGGAGATTAAAAAGATAGGCCTGGATTAGGTTATGTATGTTCTGTACACTATCTTGGCAAATTTGTTTTAAGCTGTAGGCTTATAATGGCAATCTGATTGCATCTCGGATGCTATCTCTGGTGAGGACTCCTTAAAGCACTCCAAAAAAATTCCAAGGTTGAGTCTCAGCAAGAGCTTAGCAAGATGAGAACATGAAACCAAATGAGCCTTTTAGAGCTAAGGAATGTCAGAAAAATATTTCTGTCCATGAGAAATATAATTTCTCATTATAAATGCAGAGAACAAGAAAAGGGTACAATGTGTGAATCATGATTAGAACTTCCTTTACCCCCCATTTATTAGATATCTTGGGTGACACAAAATGTTAAAGTGCACAGCTACTAACCAGTGAAAGTGGTATCCTTTCAGAGTTTCCCTGAAAGAAAGGTCTGGAGTTTCACTTCCAAAAATCAGTCCTTTAGAGCACAATTCAGTTACGACACACATAGATATGCCACTTGTCAGAGTCAACTAGATGGCAACTGGCAACCTTATGGTAATGCCTGGTAGATATTAAAGTGCTTTAAAATAATGAACAAAGTGAAGTAAGTAGCAAGATGGAGAAATTTATATATTAATCAAGTTAAAATATTATCAATAGTCAGAAGACATTCTGAGTCCGTTAACTGTGGTTATCTCTATAAAAAAGGTTCCTAACAGGCTTTTTTGTAATCTTTTATTCTCTTCCCTTTCTGTCATTCAGTCAATTTTATTAAAAAGATTCATATACTTGCTATTACTCCTCTGAATCTTCCAATCTTGAACCAAAAGTATACCATAACTTGAGAAAATCTTTAAATCATGAACCAAAATTATCACCTGAAGTAATCTTTAAACTAAAGTTTTGCTAAATCAGTGAAGCATATTCCCTGTAAGCATTGTATTCTTAAGGAATTAACTATATGAAATGAAACTGACAATAGTGTATTTTTGGAAGCAGGAGTGGCATCCACTTCCTAAACAACATGATTCCAGAAACTCCATGAACTTTGATAAATGTTGATAGTTATAGAAAGGCTTCAGGGGGTGGGCAGGGAGGAAAGTACAACAATGAATGACTGGAAACCCTAAGTCTCTGTAAACTTTCATTAAAATTAATTAAATTTAAAAAAAAAAAAGAAAAGCTTCAGGGCTTTCATTCATAGGGTTGCTATGACTCCTGCTCAACTCGAAGGCAATCAACAACATCTAAAGTACAGAGGAAATGTTTAAGGTATAAGCATATAAGTCAATTGTGGTAAAAAAAAACACAGTTAGAGATAGCAAGATTGGTGATAGAACATGTTACTGAAATGTATACAAGGAAGCTGTAGGACAGTGTGGGATCTGCAGTGCATATTTTCACCAAAATGGAAAGAAGTAATAGTCATTATACCTTAAGGAACTACTTGTCTTACTTTTGGTAAGCCTGCAAAGCTAATATTGTTAGAATTTATGTAAAATTCATTCTGTGTTACATTTACTAGAGAAAAGTTCTGAGAAGATATTCTAAAGCCTTTATTATCAAGCCAGCTCATGAGCTTTAGTGGACAAATGTATTGATACCTGTTTTGGTGTCTCAGAAACCTTTTTCTTACTTCCTGATAGACAGGTGAAGTTACTGGATAGCAGAGGGTGAACATTTAACAATTAGTTTAAAAATCTATAGGTATAAAACATAGCAATTCTAAGGAACTACAACTTACAGTAAATATTTCAGGTAACTATAATAGAGAAGAACGCAAGTGGCCTTGTAGGTGGAGAGTTGCACTGCGAGACCAAATGCAGGTGATTCAAATTCACCAGCTATTCCTTGGGAGAAAGATGGACAATCTCCTCCCAGGCAATTTAAGCCTCTGAAAATATGCTGCTGGATCAGCTATAAGCAGGTCCACCTTGAAGGTACGTAACAGGATAATGCTTACCCACTTATGCAAACAAACTTAAAGGAGCAATGAAAGAATCTATTTTGGCAAAATTAAAATTTGCCATAATTATAGATGCCCTCTGATAAAACAGGTAGTTATTTAAATATACAATTTATATTTTATAATAGGAATATCACACACAAATATGTGTATCACAAGAGAATGCATAAAAATAAACACATTTATAAATTATAAAAATAATTTTTATGTTGACTTACATCCATCTTGGGTAATAACTGGTAACGCCAAGCTATTTTCATTTCTGTATTAGATTCTGGTGTCTTATAATTACAAGTGTCTTCATCAGATTCCTTTTTGTAATTATCATCAAGTAATGGTGCAGGAAGTTTCTGAGAAAACAGAATGGCACACTATTGAGTGTTTGCGGTAAAAGAATATAGTAACATTCTTAACTCATAACCTTAGTAAGACTAAAACATTCCAGTTTATTAAAAATTGATTATTTAAAAAAAGATGGAAATATAAAATTCTAACAATATAGACATTTCTAACTAAACTAAAACAAACCCACTACCATTGAGTCTATTATAACACATAGCGATCTTACAAGACAGAGCAGAGTTGTCTCATATACTTCCAAAACTATAACTAATCTTTATGGAAGCAGATTGCTACATTTTTTTCTCCTATGAAGTGGCAAGTTTCAGCCACCAACCTTTTGGTTAGCTGTTAAGCACTTTTATGGCTGTGTCATCAGGGTACACTTTTTTTTAATGAAGAAATTAATTTTTTTATTATTCAACTGTAAAAATCTATATCATTAATAGAATTTTAAATGTACAATTAGTTTTCTTCTGAAAAGATAAATTATTTTGAAAATCAGAGAATAACAAGACTACCACCTTCATTAAAACACCTAATCTGTTATTTTTAAAATATTTTAATAAAAGTTTATAAAGAGCTTGGATTTCCATTTATTCATTGTTGCACATTTTCCTCCCTGCTCCACCACCACTCTCCCCTCAACCCCCCGGTTTGCTTTTTTCTTTCTGGACTCTTGTCATGCCAATAATAACCAATCATGTATTTCTTTTATATAGTTCTCTCTCATGTCTGTTTCAATGGCATATTCATTATTTATCCCCTCTTTTCTTAGTTTCACCCATCCCCCTTATCAGTCCTGTTCTAAAACAGTGGCATGTAGTATTTGTCTTTTTGTGACTGAGATATTTCACTGAACATAATGCCCTCCAAGGTCATCCATTTGGTATTATATTTCTTGAGTTCCTTGTTTTTCAATGCTGCATAATATTCCATTGTTTGAATATACCACAGCTTCTCTAGCCATTCATTTGAACAGCAGATGAGACACGGTGGTGAGATGAACAGGTTTGAGTGAGTTTGAGTTTGAGTGAGAGAAGTTAAAAGCAACTGTCAGCACACACCTAGGAGCTGCTTGCTGATGTCATGAAATGGCCAGGGAGCGATGCTTTGGGGAACAACATGCTGGGACAAAGCTGGAATCTGAATGTGTGAGCCCAGAACTCTACTACCATTGTGACCAGCCTGTGCCCGGAACTCTAGTACTGTCATGACCAGCCTGTGCCCAGAACTCCAATCCTGGTACTGGTGGCCTGCACCCAGAATGCTGCTTCCAATGCACACTGGGAATGATACTGGAACTTGAGTGATGTACTTTGTGGGGGAGGTCACTGCTGTTTAGCTGGATCATGTGGGATCCCTTAAGCTCAATCAGAAGGGAACAAAACAGCTGGAGCTTGTTCCTGAAGGGAAAACCAAGGCTTCCTGGCTTTTCAATCAGGTCTCCACACTCCTTTTTGTGTCTCCTCATGTCTAGTCTATCAACTGCCTTTAAACCAGAGCATCCTGGCCACCACTTAGCTGTGGCAGTTGAGTGACAGAGGAGCCTGCTTCCACAGGTCTTTTCTCTATCAAACTGAAAGAAACCCAGGGAGGACAGCTGCCGCATCCTCTTCTGGAGGAGTGATTTCAGGTCAAGATGAAAAATTCTACCACAGCAATGTCACGTAGAAAACAGGCTACCTCACTCTCTACACAAGCCCAAAGCAAGATGTCACCCTCCCCCCCAAAAAGTGACACAGTATTAATGGATTTCCTAAAGCCAGAAAGTGTGATGAAACTTTCTGACACAGAATTTAAAAGATGAATGATTCAATGTTTTCAATGGGTGAAAAAAATACTTAAAGAATTATAGAACACTGCAAGCAAAAAACCAGGAGGAGCTAAAAAAACAACACAAAATAATGCAGATAAAACAAATGAAGCATTACAGGGTTCTTTATAAAGAGCAAAAGGGTCTATTATTTAATATGGGGATAATATAGAATAAGAATGTAGAGAACAGATTCCATTTTCTAGTTTATACTCAGAAAAATCAATTGTTATTCCATTGAGAAGTTATTTTAATTTTTTATAAACTTAAAGCACAGTGTGGGATTAGCACTACCATATTGCATGTTGTTATTATGTTTGCCACATGGTTAAAAAATAAAAATATGTACACAATCTGCTTACTGGTTTGCAATTGTAGACTTCAAAATACTCATTTGCCAACATAATGGGTGAGGTAACAAACAAAAAGCCGTATTTTCCCCCTATTATAATATTATATTATAGTATATAATATATTATATAACATTATATTATAATATTATAGTATTTTATATTATAATATACTATATTATATATTACATATATTAGTTCCTTACCTGCAAGCCTATGTCTCTTTTTTAACAATGAAAACAGATTTTAAGATCACTGATTAAAAGAAGAGAAATTGAATTTCAATCTTATTTTTTGGGGGAAGAAAAAAACACCCATCTGAAAACATTTTTCTGATGAGACAATTTAGAAATAGTGAGGAGCAGGGAAGAGTATATACGTTTCTTGCAGGAGCAAAGCCAACGGGATTATTTTGATTAGCCACAATCATAAGAATAACACAGAACAAAGCATTTGTAAATATAGTACTATATTATAATATAGTCCTAATTTGCAACTTTCACTTTAAAAAATTATTATTAATTTCATTGACAATTTACAGAGACTTTGGGTTTCCATTCAGCAACTTTCACTTAAGATAAAATGTACTTATGCTTAGAGTCATGTTAACTAATTTCTTACAAGATACTTTATCATAAATTTTAGTATAAAATGGACCTCTCAGGGGATATATACTACAATTTGCATAAGTATTGTTGCTGTTGTTATGTGCCATCAAGTTGCTTGCGACTCATAGCAACCCTATGTACAAAAGCCCTAAACGCTGCTCTATCTTGTGCCAACCTTGCCATCTCCAACACACTCATTCCCACCACCCCAATCATAGATATGATCCATCTCAACAAGGGTCTTCCTCTCCTGCGTTGTCCCTCCACTCTACAGAACATGATGTCCCTCTCCAAGGACCAGTCCCTCCTTGCAACATGCCCAAAGTATGTCAGACGAAGCTTCAGAATCCTTGACTCCAAGGAGAATTCTGGCTTCACCCTCCCAGGACAAACCTGTTTGTTCTCCTAGCAGTCCATCGTATATTTAGCACACTTCTCCAGCACCACAGCTCAAAAGCATCAATTCTCTTTCTATCATCCCTAGTCACTGTCTAACTGTCTGATGCAAAGCACGTAATTGTGAAGACTATAGCCTGGATCAGGTGCACCTTAGTCTCCAGCCTGATGTCACTGCTCTTCTGACTTTCCCAATGCAATTCATCTCTTGACTTCCTGGCTGCTGTTACCAAGAGTGTTGACTGTGGAGCCAAGTAAACTAAAACTGTTAACTATCTCAATCTATTCACCGTCCATACTGATTCTGCCAATTGGCCCAGTGGTAAGAATCTTTGCTTTCTTGATGTTGAACTTCAATCTGTATTGAAGGCTGCAGTCCTTGACCTTCTGCAGCAAGCGCTTCAGATCCTCCTCAGTTTCAGCAAGTAGGGTTGTGTCATCTGCATTACGCACGTTGTTAATGACTCTTCCACCAATCCTGATTCCACATTCCTCCTCTTATAGCATAGAGTCTCGGATGATGTGTTCTGCATACAGATTGAAAAGTTATGGAGACAAAATGCATTCCTGATGGACCCCTTTCTTGATTTTGAAGCATTTAGTGTCTCCTTGCTCTGTTCTGATGACTGTCTCTTGGTCCAAATATGTTGTTTTGTTGTTATGTGCCGTCGAATCGCTTGCGACTCATAGCGACCCTATGTACAACAGCCCTAAACTCTGCTCTGTCCTGTGCCAATCGCACTGTCTCTGACACTCCCATTCCAATTATC